TACTGTATGATACTCAGATTTTAACAATACCCTGGTATCGTTAAACAGGATGAAGGACTGCGTAGACGCCCAACTTCGTGACTAACAGGCAGGATTCCGTAAGGATAGATCGTGTACAGACCAAATCGCAACTCTACGGATCATTGTGGAACAATCAATTGAATGGAATTCATCACTCTACATCAACTTCATTGACTAAGAAAAGGCATTTGATAGCGTGGACAGAACAGCACTATGGAAACTTCTTCGACACTACGGCGTGCCTCAGAAGATAGTCAATATCATACACAGTTCATATGATAGATTACACTGCAAAATCGTGCATGGAGGACAGTTGACAAAGTCGTTCGACGTGAAGACCGGTGTTAGGCAAGGTTGCTTACTCTCACTCTTTCTCCTGGTGATCGACTGGATCATGAAGACATCAACATCCGAAGGGAAGCACGGGATACAATGGACATCTAGGATGCAGTTGGACGATCTGGACTTCGCAGATGATCTGGCCCTTCTATCCCAAACGCAACAACAAATGCAGGAGAAGACGACCAGTGTAGCAGCAGTAGGTCTCAATGTACATAAAGGGAAAAGCAAGATTCTCCTATACAACATAACACGCACCAATTCAATCATAATTGACGGAGAAGATTTGGAAGATGTAAAAACCTTTACATATTTGGGCAGCATCATTGATGAACAGGGTGGATCTGATGCAGATGTGAAGGTGCGGATCGGTAAAGCAAGAGCAGCATATTTACAAGTGTGGAACATCTGGAACTCAAAGCAACTGTCAACCAACACCAAGGTCAGGATTTCCAATACAAATGTCGAGACAGTTCTACTATATGGGGCAGAAACCTGGATAACTACGAAAGCCATCATCCAGAAAATAAAGGTGTTTATTAACAGTTGTCTACGCAAAATACTTCGGATCCTTTGGCCAGACAGTCAGTCAGTCAGTCAGCTACAACGTAGGACCAGGCACATGTATGCATCGGCCCAGGTTGCCATACCTCATTAGCACAGCAAGATGAACACTGGATTCATAGGAGTGGTTAGGTCAAAGGTGGTAATATATAGGAGAAAGATTGCAATAAGGATATAGTATAGGAAGAAAGAATTAGTTCGTAGAAAGAAAGATGTGAAGTGATCTTAATCTCTTAGTTTAAGAGAAGACAGAGAGTGTATAAACCGACGCCATTGTGATCGATTCTGAGCCATGTCACCAAGGGTCTCCAACCATTGGTTACGAAAGTCACGCGGACCCCAACCAAGTAGTCTGCATCCTTTGGCCAGACACTGTTAGCAACAACGTACTGTGGGAGAGAACAAACCAGATCCCAGCGGAGGAAGAAATCAGGAAGAAGCGCTGGAAGTGGATAAGGCAAACATTGAGGAAAGCACCCAACTGCGTCACAAGACAAGCCCTCACATGGAATCCTCAAAGCCAAAGGAAAAGAGGAAGACCAAAGAACACATTACGCCGAGAAATGGAGATAGACATGAGAAAAATGAACAAGAATTGGATTGAACTAGAAAAGAAGGCCCAGGATAGAGTGGGTTGGAGAATGCTGGTCGGCGGCCTATGCTCCATTGGGAGTAACAGGCGTAAGTAAGTAAGTACTCAGATTTTAGTAAGATATTCTGTCATTTTGTATTAAAATACATTTGATTGTCCACACTGATGTTCTCGTTCACTAAATTAATATTTACTACAATATATAACAAGTATCATGGATAATAGTATAACTATCCTTTGATCTTGTATTATATTTATCTTAGGGAAAAAAAAACAAGTTTTTGGCTTCCTGGAAGGAAATTTATAACGATGATGACCTTAAATACTCACAATGTCTATCTGTTACTAAACATCAGTTTTAAAACGAAATTTTTCTCATAAAAATTTTCGTTTTCTTTTGAAAAAAAAAGAAGAGAGAAGTCTATTTTGTAATCTAATTATTCATAAATCCATTCAGTAGATTTTCAGTTTGTTTGTCTCTTTTATCTTTATGTAGATAACCTTGTATGTCATTGCATGGATAAATATATTCTCATTTAGGTATAGGATGTTTCCTAATGACTACAGAATGAATAACCGATTTGACTGTAAAGTATCTAATTATATATCTTTAGGGAAGTTTCAAATGTGAAGTTGTTGTAGACTGTTTGAAAATTTAAAGAAAAGTACTACAATGTTATATTTGTCTTTTTTCTTCAATACGTTATTTTTTTCAACAAGGTTACTGAAACTGGCTGATTACCAAGGAGTAAACGATGTATTATTTACCTAATGCTTTGTGTTGAACATTATCAATCAATCTAGTAATATAGAGACTATTTAACGTAGTTAGGTATCATACTCACTACATTTTAATATAAGGCATTTGGAGGCGATTAAAAGAGAGTACGAAATTCGAGTATTTCATCATTAGATACTTATCATTAAGGTGTATCAAAATAGTTTACGGAACTAATGTGTCCTATGATATTGATAGGCAAATCAATCCACATGACAAAGATATTATCATTTAGTTACTCAAGTAACATTATTTTCCTCTTCCTGTCTTGATAATCAATTTTAAGTCTATAGGATCTCAGCTGTTACTAATGTTCACTTAACATTCAAAAATGTAACAAATTCAATTTTTTTCAAGATAGAAAATGAATAATCTTTATTGTGAAGCAAAATTATTCTTTAGACCGAATTTATTCTGAGTTCTTGTATAGTGTTTCACACCACACATGTATGTGTGGCATTTTCTTCACCATGGCCGGAGTATAACAGAAGCTCCCCTGAAGCTAGTAGTTCTCGTCCAACTTGCGTCCAACGTGTTTCACTGATCCCAAGCACCTCGAGGTTGTATCTCCTCATTTCTGCAGAGATTTGGAAGACTCCCCCGGTCTTCCATATTGTACGAGTATTCCATGTACCGAAATACATGGTTGCTCTAGTTGTCAGAAGGGGCATTGGCCTCGTGACTTTCGAAGGAACTTGGCGCCATAACTCTTCTAAATGAAGACCTTCTGACTCCCAGGGCAGAGTTTAAAAGGTTTGAATAATTTTTTCTGGTTAGCGTTTTTTTAGCGAGTTGGTTTTCTACGAGATGGGGTCGCTAACCCCATGCCCAACCATCCTCCCTTATCCGGGCTTGGGGCCGGCAGAAGCCCAGGGAGGGACTCCAGGCGGAGTTAATAAATTATGTTACGGAATAAAATAAACAAATCAATATTTTTTGCATTAAACTAATATGTACATCTAGGTAAAATGAGATACATCCTATCGTTATCATGTTTATTATCAACGTAAGAAAGATACTTTCATGCAATGCAGTTATTTAATGTGAATGTTTCACTGATAAAAATAATGCAATTTAATACTACTAATGACATTAATAGTAATATAAGTAGTATGTAGATATTTCTTTTTAAACAGATTTTCTAGTGCAAAAATGTATGTCTGTTATTATTCGTCAATAATTATCATTAAATATTTCATTAAAACCAAAAAAAGTGTCTGTACAATAAGTTTTAGATAATCAGTTCGTTAGTTCGATTTCAGTAATATTTCACTCTAATTTAATTACTTAATTACACCTGTTACCCCTTATGGAGAGGCATAGACTGCTCATCAGGATTCTTCATATAATTTAATTAGTTCACTTTAGAAATTATAAATAATTTTCATATTTTTCTTAAACGATTAATAACTTTCAAGTTAGTATCCAAAAACTTAACTAATAAATCTTTTAACTGAACGCTTGAATCGGTTTCATAAACTCTGAATAACTTCAGGCTAACAACTTGAATAAAAAAGAAAAAGTGCGAAGTGTGAAAAGAACTCTTCACTTTAAGGTTAGCTCACGTACAGAAAACCGAGATTATTTATATAATACTCCAGATGTCCTTGGGATTCTGGAAGGTTCTTGAGCTGTACAAAACATAGCAGCAGGATAGGTAATCATTCAATCAGAAGTATGACACGTGGTTCTTCATTTTTTAGATGTTTCTGGGAAACATCTATTCACCGCTGATTAGATAAGATGTTTTCCAGAGTTTTTAAGACCCCTCTGGACTTTTTCGATGGATATTTTGAGTTTCTATAACACTAAATTTTATTTTCTACACTGAAATTAATTCTGATATTCATCTACATTCGAATCAAAGCTATTTTGCTTATTTAATTTAATAGAATCGCGCCAATCTTTAAACAGTTATTTAAGGCCTCATTATAGAAGATGGTGGTTAGAGCTAGTCAACCTAGGTTTCATGCTATTTGTCACTCAGCAAGGTTTACCTGTAATCTTGAAAGCACTAATGTCCCCTGGTGGATTCGATCGCGTGTCACTCAGATTCCTGTATGACAGAAGTGTGTTCACCACCGATTGATTACTAAATAATCACCAGTATTGTTTATCTCCAGTCTTTCCTAAGAGATGATCGAATTATATCGATTAAGTCACAATGTGGTCAATACTGTTCTGAACGAGAACACAGCTGGAGACAACCAATGCATTTTAATACAAAATTACAAAGTATCTTGGTAAACTATAAGAATCATTCATTGAATACTTCATTTGCAAATTTCCATAATTTTACCTTCAAATTCTGTATGATTCCCCATGTTCACAATTCCTTCCTATTTTCCTTCCTATTCTCTTGAACTTGATCTTCTTAGCCTTCTGATGCTAGGTTTTCCACTTCCGATTGGTGTTACATGCTACTTATATCTGTAGGCGTAAGTAGCATGTACCACACCACTAGTCTAAGTGATTCGACATGGTGTACACTATGTTAAGATGTAAGGTGTTGGTTAGAAGTGATTTTTTTCAAAATTACAATGCTCGAACTAAATATTGGAATACTGGATGAAAATAATTAAGCTTGTAATGAGATTTCACCTGATAATATTTTGCTGTTGAATAAGCTATAATATTCTTAATATTTAATCATATTTAATATAAGCCTTTTTTCAATCATTTTTTTAATTTTCATAATTATCATAGGCCATAAATTTGTTGGTCCAGTTGAATTAGTTCAACATCATTCAACACAATTGGATGGTTTTCTTACATTAGCTCAATTACCATTAAATCGTCCAGTTGGTATGTCACCAATTGTTTTACAAGGTTTAAATGCTAACGATTTGGAACATAATTTACGTTTAAAAGCTATAGAAATGGGATTAAAAGTAAGTCTTATCTGATAATGTTAGTTATTGTGAATTTTCAGTAGTTTTTAAATGTTTGATTATTGCCTAATAAATAAATGAGTTGTATGATGTTCGGTGGTTAGAATGAACCACAAGTAAACTTTGAACATAAGTTTGATATTAGTTAAGACTTATCAGCAATCTGGTGAGAATTAGTGCTCCCTATGAGATTCAAATCCGGGTCTCCCCGTTTCATAATCTAAAACACTACCAATGATTGAGTCAGGCCTGGAATGATTTCCTTTAGGATTGCTATATTTGCATGAATTAATCACTGAGTGAAGTAGAAAAATGTGACATTGGCCACTATTCAGAGAACAGCTATTATAGATGGGTTACATGATACTTAATGAAGTGTTCCTCTGATAAATAATTTTATTGACACCATCTATTTTTCAAACGATGGAACCCTGCATATATGATCGTTCTGCCAGAAATGTAATGTGTCGCTTATTCAATTTCTAACTCGATTATATTCGATTCTGAAGATTTTTAGTAATAGACTCTTATCAACTAGAAACTTCTGAAAACCTAATATTTTTGTATTTTTATAAGGGATAATTTGAATTAAATTAAAGATGTTCATGTCTTGCTTCAAATGGGAAAGTATCTAGATAATGAATCAGTTACGAGTGATAGTTAGTATTGTTATCGATTATCGTATTCCTTATGTTCATCTTAAAATAAAAGTTTCCTAATCGAATTTTGAGAGTATAGGGTTGTGTAGGCGGTTTAGTTTCATCGAAACCAAAAAAGCGATCAAAATTAAATAACCATCAAAAACTAGAAGCACTGGAAAGTTGTTTTGTCCTACTGCGGACCTCTTAGTTAGTGCATTTCCATGAATTCGCAACCGGGAATCAAACCTAGGACCTTCTGTCTCTCTGGGAATTTCAATTCTAAGAAAAATGATCGTTTAGTGTTTCCTTGTTTTCAGTACTTGTTTACATCAGGTGTGTTCGTATTTTTAATTAACTTTAAATGTTCCCTTAATACAAAATCACCAGTGAACATTGAATCCTAAGTTTTCAGATGCAGGTACATCCAGCTGACGAGTCCCAAATAGGATGAAACTCACGTCCTGAATCCATTGCTAGCCACTATCCATCTTTGCTTATAATGCTTGTGTGATAAAGTAATATCGTGGCATTCCGCACAGTATACACATATGCCAATAACAGACTGATCAATTACAATCCTAAACATCAATGGAAATATTCAAGTAAACAACATCAAGTGAATTAAATTTCCTCTTTCTGTAAACATTTAGATGGTATTATCATAATTACTTCTAGAATTTGTAAATTTGTTTACATTTGTGTTAATTTATTCAATACAACCAATTTTTCATAAAATTATTGTTTAGAGCTGACAATCACTAATAAGACTGTGACACGATGGGTGAGAAGCTTTTTAGAGAAAACATTTATTGGAATCAAAGCATACACTTAGGTTGACAACCTTTTTGATACCAATATGTAGTAATGAATACAATCCGTAAGAATATGGCTCTTGGTGAAATCCTCAATTCATTTACTATTAAAGAGTGAATTCTACAAGGGCAAAATTTGTAAAATTGCCTTAAACATCTTAGTTATTAATAACTTTATACCGTTATCTAACAAAAGTAATTGACAAACTATGTGTCGGTTATATTTCAAATATATTTCTAAGTGATTGGAGATGATATTCACTGTTTTTTCTTTATGAAAATTTCTCAAACAGTTTACTAGCTATATTGTAATCTGTCAGTTTTAAAATAATCTTTTACGAATTATTCACCACTTAATACCTATGAACATTACACTTACCTTAGTTGCTTAAACATCAAGAACTGATTACATAATTATTCATTGTTATTCTTATAAATACTTTAGTTTTGAATAGGTTTAATTTAAATTACTCTTCATTAGTTTATTCATATTTGACTTGTATTATAAATTTCAAGATAAATATAAATGTAGAGCTATAGTGAGTATTTAACATGGAAAAAATAGGGATGAGTCTTTTAACAATGTTTTTCATGTTCATTAAATGTTTTTGATTGAGATCACGAACCAATTGATGTTAGATCAGCTTTGGAAACCTGGAAGCACTGACTGCCGTTTCGTCTTATCGTGGGACTCCTCAGCAGTGCGCACCCACGATCCCGCTCGCGGGATTCGAACCCAGGGCCCTCTGTCTCGCGCGCGAACACTTAACCTTCTGGACCACAGAGCCGGCATCCAATGGTGATAGTGTCTAGTGGGTTCGAATCACACGAGTGGGATCGTGAGTGCACACTGCTGAAGAGTCACACAATAGGACGAAACGGCCGTCAGTGCTTCCAGGTTTCCAAAGGTGGTCTAACATCAATCGGTTCATAGTCTCAATCAAAACTTAATAATCTCTACAACCCCTAAACTAGTTCATTAAATGTGTTGCACTCATTGGTTTTGATTGATTTTCCCATGCATTTAGTGGATGAGCACTGTGTATTAAAGTGAAATTTTCATTTCAAATAGGTAAAGTTATTCTCAGCTGTTTACGATTGAAATATCCAGTGTAGATCATTTCAACATACTGGATGAAATGTGATAAATATACTTAAATATAAGGTTTTAAAATGAAACTTTTAATGAGAACTACACTCTACTATACAACGTTTATCCATTTACATAAATGAAAAGAGAATGACAGAAAGTGATCAGTGTAACATATTTTATGAACGCTGAAATATGCAGATAATAGCCAATAATTATCCTCCCACCGCCTTAGTGATTGATTTTTTAAAATTTCTAAATGAAAACTTTGGTTTACTTCACTGTGTAAAAAAAAAATCAAAGTTTAAATTTACTGGGAAGATATTTTAAACTAATCTATACACTTCACAAGAACGGTAACCATATTAGCATTTAAAAAAGGCAGTTGTAATGAACGAATACTTTGTTATAGTAAACCAACTTATTATATGAAGCAAATTACATATTGCATTAGAAAACCATATGTTGGATACATTGTTTGCACATCTTGAATTTCTTGAATTATCTTTTATAAGTTCCATAGTTATTTCATTCTTGTTGCTACTCGGAATGCTGACCTATAAATCAATAATGACACTGAATAATAGTCATTTAATATTGTAGATTTATAATAAGCTAAACAATTTGAACTATTGAACTTTAGTTGATTTATTCTAAGTTCAGTAGTTCAGTAGTAGTGTCATCGATAGAATGGAATAGCAATTCAGTTGTTTCTAGGTTTATACTGATTTTCTAGTAGCTCAAATAGTTAAACCTTTTTAACATTGAACAAATCAGAATAAAACAAGTGGAAAACGTTCGTGGTTTTTTTTTCTTACTTCCATCGGAATAAAATTCTGAATTTATTACATCTTTATAATAAATAATTACATTATTATAATGTTAAATCAATGAAGATGGAATGTCTGTTTCGTAAGGGAATAAAGAAAAGGAAATGAGAAACTAGATAAAAAAGGTAGTCGAAAAAAAATCATATAAGAATAGGATACTTCTAGAAAACTAGAGAAAGAGAAAATGAAAATTGAGAGAATTATTCTTTTCTTCTTACTGTGAAAGATAATCTAGTAATAACAAGAATAGTTGAAATCATGAGTCCATTGAAGCTAGACCACCATGGGAAACCTGAAAGCACTGTACGGCCGTTTTGTCCTAGAATAGGTTTCGTCAGCAGAGTGGATCCACGATCCCGCCCCCTCCCCGCAAGATTCCAACCCAGGACCTATCAGTCTCGCTCATGAGCGCTTAACCATTAGACCACTGAGCCGGCACCAACTGTGCACTGTTGAGTCCCATACTAGGATGAAACGGTCATCCAGTGCTTCCGGGTTTTCCATGGTAGTCGAACTTCAATTGACTCATGAATTCAACTATTAAAATTTTGAATTATTTAAAAAAGAAGATGTTAAATGTATTGAATTGTATCAACTTATGAGAGTTTTAATTGGTTGTTATTTTTATCGTCGTTTAATCAGGTTGTAATCATTCCCTAATACATAAATATAAACATTGATTTCATAATTATGGTAAACAAATAAATTAATAATTGATTGAGCTCTTCTATATAACCAATTTTTATGTCATATTTTCTGGTTTTTTAATCATTTGATAGATTATTTCTGTATTTTGTCTCACTTCACTGATTTAATGAGGTTCTATTCAAATCAATTGCAATTATTTATTTACTTGATTGGTTGTAATATTCCATTGACATTTTAGCGTAGAGAATTCAATATCTCGAAATAAACGTATTGGTTTTCAACTTCTGATTAAATGATTACCTATTCTGTTGCTATGTGTTTGCATGGTTTCACAACCTTCCAGAGGCCTAAGGCCGTCTGAAGTACTATAGATACCCCAGAGTTTTTGCTGTACATGAGCTTACCTTGGAGTAGAGCGTTTTTTTTCAAAATTCCTAACTTTTCTCTTATATTCAAATTGTCGTCAGCCGATGAGACTAAAATTTATAGACGCCCTTCGAGCAACGCTAAAATGACCTTGGAATGTCATCATACTTACTAGGGACAAATGAAGATTATAATTGATTGATCACTGGGTGGGTGGTGATCAATATCATGTGTGTCAAGTTCTTATTTAGTGCAAATCGAATGCTATCGCTCATGTTGCAATGTGGCTACCAGTCTAGGTGACTCGACATTGCGGGCACTATATATTGAGATTAGTCGAAGGAATTAGGATTAGAACTTACAATTGAACGCTAGTGTTAGAAATTAGATTCATCAATGTTTTCATCACAAACTGACATCAGCTATAATGCTAAATGAGTGAATGAACTTCACGCCAAAATAAAAGATCTGCTATTTTAAATGATCTGTTCTCACTGAACAAGTCTTGTTGAGTAAACAAGAATATTTGTACAATCCATTGTCTTTTTATTTAACAGAAGAAGAAGTAGAGGAGTAATTGATAAATTTCATATTACATATATTTATGACTCAT